GGGTAGAAGACATCCGTGGTCTGGTGGTTTTCGGCAATCGATGCGTAAGCGGTCTGTCCCAAGTGGGATGGAGTGAGCGGGTTAGTAACCTAGAAGTCGTCGGGCGTTTGAGAATGCATCGAACAAGAACTCACTATCGCATCGAATCCAGCTCAATAGGCTCGTGGGTTCGGACACGTTTTGCGTATGTCCGATGGTCGCCTACAGCAGAGTGCCTTATTCGCAGTGGCTGTTGCAGACGTGGAGACCAGGCATGAAGAAATGCATAGAGCGATTGAGTAGAGTAGGTATCTCTCATCGTCCGGATTAGAGTCCAAAAGACTCCGAAACTGCATGCCTGGAGACACTGAAGATCATGGATGCGAACCAACAGCAATGGCGATCATACTGTCACTTCTTATCAGTCCAGAATGCTTGAACTAGTATATATGCACAGTTGGGCTGTGTACTCGATGTGTTGATCACAGAGGTTTGCTTTCTTTTCCCGTCCCTAAGAATAGGCCAAATCCCTATTCTTCTTACGCATTCTCACTTACGTTGTATGCAATTTGAGTTTGGCAGCGATCAGTGATGTTCGCTTCACTGATGATGATGATGATGATGAACCTGGTAGCCTTGCACACCCTACCAAATTGTGAATGAAATTATGCAACAAAGATGCATGCAGATTGATCTGTCTGTCACATCAATAGGGATTCGATCGATGCCAGTACACAGCAACTATCCGAGCTAGTGCCTCACTCAGTCTACACAACAGAGAAGATTTTCACGACTAATGAGTTAATCTCCTTCAATATAAATTCATTCGTTTCGGGTACGCGATCAAGACTAAATGCTGATGCCTATTGAATGCGCTACTCATCTAAATGCACGAAGTGTACACGCCTGCCCCACACACAGTATTCATTACCATATGATCAATACATTGTTTGAGGGTCTTAAGAACTAACAGCGAGCGCCTTCACAAACAGATTTTTTAATATTGTATTGTCACGATTTTCCTACTTAGGAACGGAATTCGTGAACTGGAACCTGGAAAAATGATGAATGCAAGCGCCACAATGATTTGCGAATTGCACGCCTAGTAAAAAAACAGGGGAAATTCATATCTATTCGATGTATGACTGTTGAAATGTGATTAATATACTCGTGAACAGGTCAGGTGTTCCTTGTTTGCTACATACGTTTCATTAACTGGAGGGAGTTGGCTAGAAAAACCTAATTCCAAACCATCCAAGGAAGGGGTACAAACAGCACACACCTTCCTGGGTGTGACAATGGTCTCCGGATCACTGCGGGTATCGAGGTCTATTGGGCACCTTGAATGTTTGTCCCTATCCAATGGGCGTATGATCCGGTGACCGGGACACCAGGCTGCGGACTCTGAGCTCCGTTCTGCTGTCTTGCAGGTTTCGTTTTCTAGTCGAAATACTTCGGGTGGGGACCCCGAGGTTATCCTACTCCCTCGATCAAGGCATCTAGGAAGTGAAATGCCCACAAAACATATAAACATCCACAGATTTTTTTTTCCATATGTTTTGGCATATTTGCCAGTTCTCTGTAGTTGGTTACATATTGCAATAAATCAAATCAACAAACATGCGTACTGATACACAGTGCAATTTTCGCTGGAACGCCCACTGGAACAAATAATCGACCCACTTAGATTCCGTTGGTTGGGGCATGTGTTACGCATGCCACCACATAGGTTGCCAAGGCGAACGATGTTCGCCGAGGCAGGCAGTGGTTGGAAAAAAGTCAAGGGTGATCAAGATGAGACCTGGCACGAGGGTATGAAAACCCTAACCAGGAGACTGGGTCACATAGATCCTGTTAGGCTCCCTGGCTGGGGACCTCGGGATGATCGTAACCGATGGTTAGAGACACTGAATGATATGGCTGAGTGTCGTAAACAGTGGCGTTCGCGCATCTTCTCAATTTCTTTGCAACCTTAGACCACAGAAATTCTCCACTTTCTGTTCCACTCTACTTTCAACCTTCCTGCCTTTCTCCTATTGTTCATTCAAATGGGCATCCAAAAGACAGCATCCGAAACCGGCGCACGAAAATACATGGTTAATGGTTATTTGAACTGAACTGAACTGGACTAATTCACATTCAAGGGTGTTAAAACAAACATTAGTCATTATCAGGAGGGCTCTACATTGAAATTCGTAGAATTCCCCTGCTCGAATTAAGAACAATATTGCAAGTAAATACTTCTTCCTGTATCTAATAAATATGCTGTTATGGAGTATGTGTACTTTAGAGAATACATACTTATACGCACAGCATCATCTGATCCACATAAATCGATATCAGCCTACAACCAACACTGGATATCTTATTTTCACATCTGAAGTGGCAGGATTATAAATTATCGGAAACAACTGTTAGCCTTCGAAA